TGTATATGTGCGTTTATGTGTGTATGGGAGTGTGTAAGTGTGTTTATGTGTGTATGGGTGTGTGTACATGTGGGGGGTGTTTATGTGTCTGTATGTGTGTTTACATGTGCTTTTGTGTATATGTATGTGGGCATGTTTGTGTGAGAGGGTGTCTGGAGGGGCGTGTGTATGTGTATATGTGTGTGTGTGTGCGTATGCATGGGTGTGGGTGTGTTGGAGGTGGGTGTATTTATGTGTGTTTATAAGTGTATGTGTATTTACATGTCTGTGTTTATGTGTGGAGGTGTGTTTGTGTGTGTGTATGTGTGTTTTTGTGTGTGTGTTTGTGTATGTGCTTATGTGGGTGGGTGTGTGTGTTTATGTGTGCATTTGTTTATGTGGGTGTGTTTATGTGTATAGGTATGTGTATTTGTGTGTTTGTGTGTACGTGTGTTTATGAGTGGGAGGGTTTATCTATGTGTGTATGTGTGAGAGATTGTGGTATATTGTGTTTATGTGTGTGTGTTCATGTGTGTGTGTGGGTATGTGGGTGTTAGGAGTGGATGTATGTGTGTATATGTATAAACACATGTTTATGTGTATTTATGTTTTTATGTGCGCAGTCTGTGTGTATGTGTATATGGGTGTGTTTATGTATGTGTGTGTGTTTATTGTGTGTATGTGTGTATGTTTATGTGTGTATTTGTGGGTGTGTGTGGGTGTTTATGCGTGTGTTTCTGTGTGTGGGTGGGTGTATGAGTGTACATCTTTCTGCCCTCTACTTTTTTCTTCTTCCCACATTGCAGAAAGCCACTCCTTCACTCATACAAGCAACTCTTTCCCTTTGCAGGAAATTATTCTTTAGCCACTTGAAACTGTAGCAAATCACACAAATGGCCTCCCTGGAAAACTGTTTTTAACCCCCATAATGCTTAGGCCCTTTCCTTTGAAAGCTTTCTCTTCCTTCTGTGTCTGTGTCTACTTGTTGTGTTGACTCAGACTATTCGTCCAATGAATAGAGACAACATCTAATTACATTTCCCACTGAAACGTTAATGTGTTCTTAACGCTTAGCAGGTAAGAAAAATAATAATGCCTCTATGTTCCCCATTTTTTTCCACCTGAGGACTTCATATGCAAAAAGAGGTTTTTAAAGCATAGCATGAAAATGTTTGGTTGATTAGACATGTATTAGGTTTTTCTGTGCTCTTGTGCAAAGGTTCAGCCTTTCAAAAGGGTTGTCCAATTATTTGGCATTAACACATCTCTTTTCTTCTGCTCTCCTACTTCGGAAGACTAACACGCTAGTCTCACAGCAAAAATCATACCAAAAGCCATTTTCTTCCCCAAAAGTATGCCTTGACCACCGCCATCTATCTATCACTTAGAAATGTTCAGTTAAAGCATTATGCTGCGAGATGCTTCAGAGCCTCACAGAATCCAAACGCCTCTTTCCTTGACATCCTGACCCCATCCTTTCCTAACACAATGCTGCCAGGGTGGCCCCCTCAATACTCCTGAAAGATAGATACCAAGATTTTCCTTGTTTCACTCGCCCCTAAACTTAACCCATTTGTGGAAGCATGGATAAATCCATGACATTCTCCAGCAAGTCTTTCTTGGTCATAATAGCTCTCAGCGATGCCTCGCTCTTTTAAATTTGTAATATGCAGATATCTACAAAGTTAACAGCACGATGTAGCATACATCAGGACGCCAAGTGGGGAAAAAAAAAAAAAAAAAAACCCTAACACTTTCTCTTTGTATCAAATTTCATCAGTAGCTCCTTAAAAGAAGACAGCAGAATTCTGCAGGTCATGTGCTTGGAATCACACAGTTATTTTTGCCCCACTGAACTATCTGTGACTTTTTCTCTCAATGAAGTCCATGAGCTTCTCAGGGACAAGGATCATTTATCATATAGGTTCAGATTCCCCTGAAATAACTAACACTAATATTGCTGGACATACAGAATATACACAGTGGATTCTCACTGATTTGCCCCATAGGGAAGCTGAGAAAATTATCAGCTTGAAATGAAGAATGAAATCATACTAAAACAAATCAGTAATAGGACATGGAAACTAAGTGTAACAACAATTTCAATGAATTGGATGGAATTTCGATCGCCTAGAAACCCGTTCTATAAGTCACTTCAGCAGGGAAGGTGTCTCTGGAGGAAAGGGGCAGATTGATAGAATGAGAATGTCAATTTTCAAATGGACTTAGAGATCATATGATGCAAACTGTCTTGTTGGAGACAAAGATGTGGTGGTGGAGAAGCCTCGGCCAAAGCTGGGGAGACCGGAGATTGATATAAGATACCCTCAGTCCTGACTGCGTCCTTTTCACACGCTCAGCAGCTTTGCAGCAAGAATGCACAGCTATTTCTCACTGTAGAAAGGGCCTTACCTCTGCCTGGAGAAAGGGAGGAAAATATCATTCAGAGTTCCCATCCACATTTAATGGGAATGCATTTAATGTTACCGCGATGATGTGTAACACTGTTAATTGCAGATCTATTGTAATTGCTTTATTTTCTCTATGTCATCTAGCTACATTCAACCAACACTAACGCATTCTCTAAACAATTAGATTGTGTAACAGCAAGAGTACAGTATGTTAACAGGAAGACGTGCAAAACGTGTGATCAAATAACTAAACACTTAATTGAGCAGCTGAATTTCTTGTTTAAAAATTTTTCTTTGTTTTCAATATTCTGACATTACTTTTCTGGTAAGGCAGTGCAGGACAGGGTCACCAATACAGTTTTGTAACACACCCACCCCCTCCACAAACGCTCTCTGAACATCTGTCATGTGCAGGCGCTATTCCAGCAATTATGGAAGACCAAATGAATGAAACTCCATTTCTGTCCTTATGAATCTAGTAAGATGATTACAAATGAACACAAAAAGTCTAATAAAGAAAGAACATAAAGAACTAATAGGAGGCTATGGAATTTCAGAGCAGGGACAAATTCCCCCATTTCCTTAAGGGGGGAAATAATACAAATAAAACCATATGGCTGGGCACGATGGCTAATGCCTGTAATCCCAGCACTTTGGGAGGCTGAGGCAGGTGGATCTTAAGGTCAGGAGATCAAGACTATCCTGGTTAACACGGTGAAACCCCATCTCTACTAAAAATACAAAAAATTAGCCTGGCGTGATGGCATATGCCTATAGTCTCAGCTACTTGGGAGGCTGAGGCAGGAGAATCACCTGAACCTGGGAGGTGGAGGTTGCAGTGAGCTGAGATCACACCACTGCACTTCCAGCCTGGGTGACAGAGCAAGACTCTATCACACACACACACACACACACACACACACACACACACCCATAAGGTGTTTATGAAGTCATAGCCACAGAAATTAGAAAGTACTTAATTTCAAACAATGGTCTTTTTTAGATAATTCTTTTAAGTTCAAACTGACTTCTAACACTTGGTTGCCTTTAAACAATGACTATACTAATATTTTTACACAAATGCTGATTTTAAAGTTTTCATCAAACATTTGCTTTCATCAAAACATTGCTGCAGAGGAGTTAATGATGAATAAGAATATAACTTTGCATGTCTGGTAGACTTTACAGCTTCCAAAGCATTTTCACAGCTACGATTTTGACAGATCTCATTTGGTCATCACAGAGCCCTGAGGAGTATGCAGGGCCTATTGGCTGTCTTTCTGTGTGCATATGTGTGTGTGTTGTTATAATTATTTTCATTGTGCATAGAGGAACCTGAGGCCTAGAGCAGTTTGAGGATTGACAGTGACAACTGGCATTTGTCAGACTTGTCAGACAAAAAGAAAATTGCTGGCTAAGCCTTCCAATCTAAAATTACTTTCAAGTTCTTACACTTGAAAACTCGTGTTCTTAGCAAGACCCAGTCTCTACTAAAAATAAAAATAAAAAACTAGCTGAGTTCAGTGGCATGTGCCTGTAGTACCAACTGTTCAGGAGGCTGAGGTGGGAGGATCGCTCGAGCCCAGGAGGTGGAGGCTGCAGTGAGCTATGCGTGCGCCACTGCACTCCAGCCTGGGTGAAAGAGTGAGACCCTGTCTCAAATAGAGAAAAAAGAAGGAAGGAAGGGAGGGAGGGAGGGAAGGAGAGAGGGAGGGAGGGAGGGAGAGAGGGAGGGAAGGAGGGAGAGAGGGAGGGAGGGGAAGAAGATGAAGAAGAGGAAGAGGAAGAAGAAGAAGAAAAGAGAGAGAGGGAGGGAGAGAGGGAGGAAGGGAGGGAGAGAGAGGAATAAAAGAAAGAAGCTCATGTTCCTACTGGTATATGTTCTCTTGAAAACAAAACATACCCTGGTAGCGCCCAGCATCTCAGAATTCCCCAGCTCTCTTTACTCCATCCACAGCACCTCACTCCTTCCTCATCCTCAGACACAGGCCAGCCTCTCTGCTCTCATCCTCTGCTCCCAATAAAGGATCAAAAAGCGGCCATTTGCTCATCCATCCTAAAGAGCCAGTGCCACTGATTTATGACTTTCAGGAGTATTTGCACTTTAAAACTTCATTATAACTCTGCAGAAGGCATCTTGATCGTGATAAGCACATGCTGGGTACTGGACATCAGGTGGAAGCAATCTGCAGGAAGGAAGTGACCCGGGTCCTTCATTACTTGCTGCCTCTTTCCCTGCAGTGGTTAACAAAGGTCTTCTGAGCTTACCTTCGGGGCATAGGTGGAGAGAGGAGCTGGCATAATGCATTGAAAGGAACTTCGTGGATGCGCAGTGACAGATTTAACAAGTAGAGAAAGCCCAAGCAGTGCCTCCAGAGGCTGAGATACAAATTTTAAAAAAGGATCTGGGAAGCAGACCGAGTCTGACAATGACACCCCCCACTCTCACTCCTAACTCTACTCATAAACACTTGTGCTGGCCTTGACCTCAGACTGCCCTGTGGTACTTAAAATCTGCCCCAAGTCCAGAGGGAGGATCTTGGAGTCCTATAACAATGACCCAGATGCTCCCTCCTGCATTTGCAAACAGAGTGGGAAAGCTGTCCTTACCTCGTAGTGGGCCACACGCTGCGATTCGGAGATCAGCTGTGCGCTGCACACCTTGCAGTAACTGTCTGTAAATAAATCCTGATCGATATCGGAGGACTTCATCAGGCTACAGGAGAATCAACAGAAAAGAAAAATGAGTCCACTGCTTTGATGTTTATGCAGGATATTAACCATGTGAAAAGCCAGGATCACAGTAACAGGTCTGACAATGGTGACAGAGGGGCGGGTCTCCCTTGACGTTACCATATCGATTAACCATATTACGTGTATAGGTTATAATTTTCTCATAAATACCCAACAGAGCTGCTATACCCTAAAATTAGAAATCCAGCTATAGTTTTTCTGTTTGAACAAGCAAGGCTTATATCTAATGTCTTGTCAATCATTTCTGTGAAGGTGGGGGCGCCATGGCTCACACCTGTAGTCCCAGTGTTTTGGGAGGCTGAGGTGGGAGCATCACTTGAGGCCAAGAGTTTGAGACCAGCATGGGCAATATAGAGAGATTCTGTCTCTACAAAAATAAAAATTCTAAAAAATGATGTATGTGAGATATTTTCACATCTCATATATATGTATATATATATATATATATGAGATGTGAAATATATAATAATATATATATATTATAAATATATAGATATTATATATATTATATATATATATTAACAAATAATAAGAATAATATATATATATATATATTAACAAAATGTTGTAAGCACCTAAGATATACAACAATAGAAAGTAGGTTAAAAGAACTTTGATACATCATCACACTAGAAAATTAGGTGGCTCCTAAATCCAAATTCAGATAAATCCTTCTTTAAGGGGACATTAGGAAAAGGTTTACCATTAGCAAAAGAGATTTATAAGTATGTATAGTATTATACTGCATTTGTTTTAAAATATGTATAGATGTATTTAAAAACATTCCAGGAAATTATAACACAATTCTAATAGCACTTATCTGTGGGAAATGATAGAAAATTGCAAAAGCAATTTTTAAATTTTTTTATTTTTAAATTTTTCTTCAACAATCATGTATTACTTTTGTAGTCAAGGAGGAAGTTAGCTTCGTCTAGAGATTTTTAGCAGTATAAAATCTAGTTTGGAGTTGGATAGTTACAATTAGAAAATTCAGAAATAAAATCAGACTAAACTATAACTTTCCTTGCAACCTCATACTATGTAACACCAGAGACCTCACTGTTCAAGCTGACTCTTCTCCATTTAGAGTTGTTGAATTCAGAAAGGCCACCTCCATCACCGCGTACCACAACTGGACCCACAAAGTAAATAAATACATTCTCAAATTCCAAACCTGGAATCAAACTGCAGCCAAGGATCTCAAGCTTCTGAAAGCAGTCTGTTGGAAACGGATCTTATGGCAGCTGAAGTGTCATGTTTCCACCCCAGAAACACACCCCAGTGCATCCGATTGCTTTCACCCAGCCCACAAACGCCACTGGTTTCACCCAGCCCACAAACTCATATTACTACCAGCCAAGCAAGAAGTCAGGACCATGGCAGACAGCATGCTCTATGGAGAGGCAAGAGAAGCTCCGATAACAGTAATATGGGAGGTACTTTGGACTTTATCTTATTCCAACGCCATCATCTTACCTATAAGACTGTCCACAGTTACACTGCTAGTCATTAGCTTAGCCAGAAATATTGCCTCACTTCCATGATTCAGATTTCCACAGGCTAGATCCATCCCAGATCTGGCGCTACCACACGGCATTGGGTGAGTCACTCAACTTTCCATGCCACTGTTTCTCCCATATAAAAATTGAGATAATAATATTTTCTATGCCTCCTTAGAAAGTGATAGTGAAAATCACAGGGAGAAATATATGAGAAAGTGCTATAGCAACCATAAAACTCTCTGCATTTGAAAGGGATCAGTAGTATATTTTTAAATAACATCCTGATGTTGTCAAGATGTTGGCCAAGTCCTGAGCAATGCAACAAAATGAAGGGCTGTGACTCATTTTAGGTGATTTTTGAAATAATCTAAATAACCAGGCCATATTAGTAAAGTATCTGCCTGAAATAAAGGCTGTCTGCCGCAACAACTCCATTCTCACATTCTGTCCTTAGCCCTGGCTCTAGTGGCTCATTCAGGGCATTTCTATTTAGCAATTCAAAAGGATTTACAGTTTCTGCTCCTAAGAGATAATAATACCTGTGGTTTTTCAATGACCCCAGCAAGCAATAGCTATGCCATGTACCACTGTGTCTCATGGTTGATGTCGGCCTGTTATTTCAGGAAGGACCACACCTGGCAGGTGGCCCAATTGGCCTGAAGTCTATTGCCTGCTGTGCCTGCAGATTCACCTCCTCTCCCACAAGGCAACCTGTTCCAGAAAGTCTGGAATCAAAATCTGCCCCACCAAAGTTTTCATCCAATGATTCTGTCATTAGGTACAACATGGGACCATACCAGTCTCCATTTTTTCAAGAGATATCCTCCCTCGAGTGTCTGAAGATAACTCTCTTCTATCTACTTCCAGGTCCTACCTGGACTTACCATCTTGTTCTGAGTCTATTTCATTATAGTCCATCTTCTTCAAAAGCAAGACCAAGAACAGACTAGGACACTCCAGAGATGGGAACTTCTCAGGCAGAGGATTGCCAGTCCCAATGCCAACCCAAAATATCATAGTCATTTGTAATGCTCTCTATTCACGGCCCAGAATGTAAATGAAGAAGAGATGTTTTGATGATGAGAAACTGTAGTACAACATTTTGAAATGTCAAATGAGAAAAGAAAACTTACTGAGGTATATTTTTTAAGCCAAGCTTCTATAAGTGGTTGTGTTTAAATATTATCGTGTTCCCTGCTATTTCTAATAAAGAAGCACACGAAAATAGATTCATGGGTGACCTGGTTAATAGGAATCTCCAAACTCACTGCACACTCCTTCCTCATTATACAACCAACTGCAAAAATCAAACACTGTGAAAGGATATTCAAGGTACGTGTCGGACCAAGCAGGCCTGTAGGAGTCTGAGTCTCGGTAAAGCAGCTGTGCAACAGAAATAGCTTTAAAGGCAGAATATAAAATGTGTATACTAAAAAAAATTCAAGGGAAGAGAAAATATCATGGCTTTTTCCACTGTTTTATATAAGAATATTGATTTGAACAAGTCCATATGCAATTTTTTAAAAGGCAATAAGGACCCCTCTGAAATTGACGACACCTGAGTGTAACACCTGAACAAGTTACATTCCAGTGGGAGGCAATTAATGGACAAGTGTCAGACTGGTTGGTACATGAGGGTTTTCCTCCAGGAAAAGAGAGCTCTGTCCATGTAGGTCACTTTAGACAACCAGAGGGTCCAATTTATGATGCAAAGGCTGGAATTCCCAAGAAAAGAGGATGTCACTTGCTCCTCTCCTCTAGTTTGTTCAGAAGAGGATTTTAGCTTCACTGGCCTTCACTGTCTTCACCAAGACAGCTGGTAAGAAAAAGGAAGAAAAAAAAAAAAAAGAATTTCCGGTTTTTTAGCCTTGTCCATGCTCCTGACGAGCCCATGCTCTACTCCAGCAGCTGGAGTAGAGACAGAGCCATTGATCACTTCCCGGTCAGTCCAATCTGTCCCATCAGAGCCAGTGTCTAGTGTCCTCCCCCTGGAAACATTCGTATTGTGCTGTGCCATGAGGCCTTGGGACATTCTGAGGAGGGATACAAGAGTAGGGGAAGACAGAAATTTGATTTCCTGAGTCTGAAATGCATCTGAAGGAAAGCACCATCTGTACTCCCAGGCACAGCACATTGCAAAGGCAGGCACATGGCCAAGCAACCACTGGAGGATCTGAATGACCTCTTATCGCTCTGCAGTACTCACAGAGGATAGCGCTACCTGCAATGGAGGAAAGAGGCCCCCACCCAAGGTGGACGCAGTACTAAAGCAGGTCACGTTCTTATGTGCTGTCCTGGGGTCTTAGTTTCTACAGATCCATGTGCATAGCAGTGAAAGTGTGAGACTCAGAGGTGCAGCTAGGTATCAGAAATAAAGGAAATATCAAGGAGGAGAGCTTTTATTGATTCCATAATGGCTTCGGGAAATCTACTATGAGTGAAACTCAGGGATAACAGAGGCACAACCCATGTCTTCCAAATCTTTCTGAGCTACTGAGTAAGAAGAGACATACACACACCAACACCTAAGGCACAGGCAACTAATTCCAGCAATTTGGCTGATGGAAAGTGATACAGGATTTGAGAAGACAGAAAGGATTATCAAGAAACTCCTCAAGAAAGTTCTATTAGGGTTGAAAATTTGAGGACGGATAGGATTAGAGTGGAGAGAAATGAGTTCCAACTCAGAAGTTAATTCTTTTCCCTGGCACAGAAAGAAAATCTTACTACCACTAGGCATGAGAAGATATATAGGAGGGGCATTGGTCGGGCTAATTTGGAATATTTCAAGATAAGGGGGAAAGGCAGAAAAATGCAAGGAAAAGAATCTCAAAACCTAGATGGAATAAAAAGAGGCTAGGGGAGAACAGCCAAGTCCTGAAATGTTTCTCAAGGTGCAAGGAATGGCCTTTTTCAGGATCCTCAGATGCAGATATGAAACCTTCCTTTCTTCTTCTTTCTGCTTCTTAAGAACAGATTAAAGGAATCCAGACTAAAACTTCAGAGAGATCTGGGGCTTCAGGTAAAAGAGTCATATTCTTTTTAAATTTTTATTTTAGGTTCAGGGAGTACAGGTACTTGCTTCTTACATGTGTATATTGCATAATGGTGGGGAGAGTACACTTATCCCTCAAGCATTAAACACTGTACCCACTAGGTAATGGTTTAACCCTCACCCCCTCTTCCACTCCTCCCTTCTTTTGGAGTCCCCAGTGTGTTTTATGTCTACATGTACCCATTGTTTAGCTTCCACCTATAAGTGAGGGGATGTAATATTTGATTTTCTGCTTCTGAGTTAGGTCACTTAAAATGATGTCCTCCACAACAGGGGTGGCCCTGTTGCTTCAAAGGACATTATTTCATTCTTTTTGTGGCTGTGTGATATTCCATGGTATATATATGCACCATATTTTCTTTATCTAATCAACCATTGGTGGATACTTAGGTTAGTTCCATGACC